GAATGGGGCACCTGGCTGACTCAGTCGGTGGAGTGTGCAACTCGATCTCGGGTCATGAGTTCAAGCCCCACACTGGGCAGAGAGCATACAATAAATTGATAGATAACTGACAGCTATTTTTTTTTAATTTTTTAAAACCATAGAGAACATAGGAATCTAAAAGTAGAAAATCTGGGACAACATGAAATCTACAGCATTTTGGAGGGAGTTAAACATGACAGACCCTGAGGGTGATTAACTATTATAACTCGGACACACAAATCATCTTACTGCCCAACCTCAGGGACCCCCAATGTTCTGGATAAAGTCAGGAGAGTATATCAACAACGTGCTCTGGTATAGAGGCACACGAGGCACTTTGGGTCAAAGCCCTAGGCTATACAGGAACTGGCCCCGCGGAATCGTCCAGCACACCGGGCTCCGGCAGCTGCATTCCAGCCAGCTGATCTTCTGGGAATCGAGGGACAGAACCAAGTTTACTGCCCGAGCTGATGCTACTACAGCATGTCCCCCTCTGGGGTACAATTGCTTCAAAAGACCTATCTGGGACATTTCACGCCAGGAGACCATACTAGGAAATCAGGTACCACATTCTCAATAATTTACTATTATTACACTTCTTTTAAGTCCAAAGCTTCCTCCATAAACTCACTAATCCCCCAACTTCAATGTTCTCTAATCTTGGTTGCTCACCCAAAGCATTTGGGGCGGGGATCATTCACTTTGCCTGTGGACTATCTAAAAACTCCAACTGGCCAGAAAATGAAATACCAAGGTCACTGGGCTCACTCTACATGCATAACTAGAGTGTCTTACCTCCTACAACCAACCCCCTCCCAAGTATCCCATTTTATATTCCAGCAATACTGTTCAAAACTGTCTTAACATGACATTCTGTTTCAGATCTGGATGCTCCTCTACCTGGAATGGCTCTCCCGTCCTTGTGCATTTGGAAAGGGTCTCCTTGTCCTTTCAAACCTCGCTGCCATCCCTTCCAGAAAGCCTTTCCTATCCTCACCCAGACAGCACTAAAATCCCCTACACTCCTGTCTACCATTATACCCCACACTTGCTTCCCTGAATATACTTACCACACAGTAATGCATTTGCTTAAACCATCAGGCTGTGCACTGTTCTTATTTCTACCCCAACACAATGCCTGCACAATAGCAAGATACTCAATAATATTAACTAAATTAAACCAAAATTGGATCAACCTAATCCATACTGGGCAGCAAGAACTGAAGACCAGCTTTAGAAGTAAATGAATAGAAACTTGGGGTTGCAGAGAACTTAGGAGTTCACAGAGCACGATCCACTCACAAAGGCTGAGCAAGAAGTCACAAACAGGAAACTCCAACTTCAGGGTGGGTATACCAGACAGGTAGGTACAAGAGTGATTTCTCATGGAATAATAGTAACATATAACTTCACACACTTGGTTTGAGGCCAACTGCAGCGTTCTGTTTCAGTCCAACCTCTCCTAACCACACCACCCAGTATTACTTTCGACATGTTAGTCAATCTCCCGATTATCTGAAATTACCAATCAGCCTAAGAGTTCTCTGAAAACAGATGGATTCTTGACACACTCCGCCTCTCTCATGGCACCAAGCACAATACTTTGCTCAGAGAAAGTACTTAGTGCTTTCTAGCGTTTCCTGAGCAACTGCTACGTGTCAGACATTGTTGAGCACTGGAGAAGTATTGAGTGCACCAAGTGCCCCCTCCTCTAATGCGATCACTCCTCCACGGCACACTTCTGTCTGCGTTACCCTGCTCTTGGAGATGCCCTTATGGCCCAACAGCACATTAAAATGTAAGCTGCACGGAGTGAGGAGTCCTGCTGAGACCGGCTTCCAGGGCTCCAATTCGGCCATTAAACTCCTTAAGCGATATGCTTACCCTCTTAACCGTTTTTTCATCTAATTAGAGTTTGGACTAGCTGACTTAAGGTTTCTTCAAGTAGGTGTACTGACTAGTAAACATTACTGATTAATTTTATAATCCTATCCCTTCATCAAAGCTCCCCATCCCCACTCCATTTTCCCAGTTGTAGGGGCAATCTTATTTGTAGCTACAATATGTAGTGAGGTGTGAATGATGAGGCCAGTCCAGAAGTATCTGTATCCCAAAAGAGTATCTGAAGCCCCTGAAGGCATCACCATGTGCTATCAATAACTCTCGAGAGTTCCTGCCTAAGTCACTGAGGGAAGGGACCTATTTCATATTAACAAGCCAGATGAAGATATAACTTCAGCACACGAGAGCGAGCATCCAAACATGAGGCAACAATCACTGTGTCCTCTGAATGCTCTACGTAAGGTCTTTCCCCAAAACGCCCCAAAAAATGTGGGTTACATTTGAAATCTATGAATTCAGCCCTACAGAAGCTCACAGGCACGGGTCTTCAATTTTGGATAGATGCACTGGTCACTTAAACAATGGCAACCACATACCAATGTGCAATTCAAATATTCGGTTAATACACAATCCAATAAATTACGGTTTTGCAAAACGTTATGAAGATCAGAGGAACACAAGAAGCAAAGTTTGCTGCTACCTGCTCTAGCTCCGATAAACATCTGCAGAAAAAGGAAAGGTTCCCAGCTAGTTCCCTGAGGGCAGGACCAGTGTCTCATTTATAAATCCCTCCTCCATCACCAGAAACATGCGACACAGTAGAAATTCAACAAATATTCACACTGATTTATAACCTTTCTTTCGTTATTCCCTCTTTACTTTCCAAAGTAATGCTTTCCTTTATTAATATCTAAATTCCTATTCCAGGAATGGCATAAGTAAAAAGATTTGTGAGTTTATTTCTACCATGTATTAAATGGGGATTATAAAACCTATCGTTCTTGGCTAGACAGAATAATCTGTCCAATGCATGCCAAGCCATATTCGTAGTCACTTAAAAGCCTCCAAACAGGCTCCACATCGAAGAATATGGAGCTTATGGGACATACAGGGGACAGCTTTGGAGACACCACCACAAGCTTGCCATCTAAAATGATCACTATCCATGGGGCGCCTGGGTGGCGCAGTCGGTTAAGCGTCCGACTTCAGCCAGGTCACGATCTCGCGGTTCGTGAGTTCGAGCCCCGCATCAGGCTCTGGGCTGATGGCTCGGAGCCTGGAGCCTGTTTCCGATTCTGTGTCTCCCTCTCTCTCTGCCCCTCCCCCGTTCATGCTCTGTCTCTCTCTGTCCCAAAAATAAATAAAAAACGTTGAAAAAAAAAATTTTTTTTTAAAAATAAAATGATCACTATCCAGGGGCGCCCGGGTGGCCCAGTCAGTTGAGCGTCCGGCTTCGGCTCAGGTCATGATCTCACCGCTTGTGAGTTCGAGCCCCGCGTCAGGCTCTGTGCTGACAGCTGGGGGCCTGGAGCCTGCTTGGAATTCTGTGTCTCCCTCTCTCTCTGCCCCACCCCTGCTTGTGCTCTGTCTCTGCCTTTCAAAAATGAATAAACATTTTAAAAAATGTTTTTTAAATAAAAAAATAAAAAATAAATAAAATGATCACCATCCAGCCCTCTGGTCTTAAATATAAATGGACAACCAAGAACCACCAGACAAATGAGAAAACCCAGCGGTGTGAATAAGAAAACCCCAGGACCTACTGAACACAGAGGAAACAGGTAAATTCAGACAATGAGAGAATTTTTTTCTCACATTAAGATCTCAGGGGGGTCACTTCCCACACACTTCCTGAGACAGTTCCACGGGAGAGAGAACCAAGACCTAGGCTGGACAGCAAAGGATACAAGAAACGGTGGCTCCAACGTAGGACTGCAAAGAGAGGTCCCCAGATGAAGCCTAGTCCATCAGGCCAAAGGAGTAACTCAGCCAGATGGACGGCTCCAGAAAAAATGAGGAATCCCAGGTAACAGACCATCTGAGTGGGAAGCTGGAAAAACGTAAGGTTGTGATGAACACACATCACTCCTATGTCTGTAAGAGAAAAAGTAGGAGCACTGGCTGGCTCAGTCAAGGGAGCACGTGACTCTCAGATCTCAGGGTTGTGAGTTCAAGCCCCATGCTGGGGATAGATATTACTTCACATCTTTTTTAAAAAAGAAAAAAAGTAAAAACTTCTGAGAAGTGAAACACACTGTTAGAAAGTCCTAAGCTTTATTTTTTTTTCCTTTTTTTTTCAACGTTTTTATTTATTTTTGGGACAGAGAGAGACAGAGCATGAATGGGGGAGGGGCAGAGAGAGAGGGAGACACAGAATCGGAAACAGGCTCCAGGCTCCGAGCCATCAGCCCAGAGCCTAACGCGGGGCTCGAACTCACGGACCGCGAGATCGTGACCTGGCTGAAGTCGGACGCTCAACCGACTGCGCCACCCAGGCGCCCCAGAAAGTCCTAAGCTTTATATACATTTTAAAAGATTTCAAGTCTACAATGTTTAATTTGTTGATTTACATTATTTTATGCAAATGAGACAAGTTCCATATTTTATAGCTATCAGTGAAATTCCTATTTTTGCCCTTAAATTTGCCATAACTTTAGGGGCGCCTGGGTGGCTCAGTCGGTTGAGTGTTCGACTTCAGCTCAGGTCATGACCTCAGTTTGTGGGTTTGAGCCCCACATAGGGCTCTGTGCTTGACAGCTCAGAGCCTGGAGTCTGCATCGGACTGTGTCTCCCTCTCTCTCTCTCAAAAATAAACAAACATTAAAAAAAATTTGTTTTTG